TGATCAAATGGGATCTGACTTTTAAAAAAATCAAGATATTTTGAATAAAAAACATTAAAGCAAATCCAATCGATGGTGGCACATGCCTTTAATCCTGGGTGTTGGGAAGAGAAGGCAAGTGAATCTCTGAGTTTGAGGCTAGCCTGATCCAAAAAAAATGAGTTCCAAGACAGCCAGAGCCTCACAGATAAACCCTGTCTCAGGGGGAGGGGGGGAGGGGGAGGAATTAAATAAATAAAAGGAAACCAGCTGATCTATTTGTGAATTTATTCAAGAACAAGAAGTGCATAATGATGTCAGAAAACATTTCAAACTAAAAAAAAGTATATTATTTACAAAAATCTTTCAAAAACTAAAATTATTTTTCAAGGAAAATTCTTTAAAAGTAAAATAACTTAAGTGTGCTAGCACACACCTGTAATCTCAGCACAGGGTGGGAGGATGTTAGGTCAAAGCTAGCCTCAGCATCATGGGAAGTTCCTGTCTTAAAAAGAAAAGGAAAGTAACAGTATACATATACAGGAGACCAGGTAGCTGTCTTAAAAAAACAAACAAGCCCTGACATCAGCAAGATGGCAAAATGGAACTTGGCAATATCTGTCAATTAGACCAACTTTCTACACCTGTACACAAAAACGCCTCTGTAAAAAGCTAATAAGAAAGTCAGATGAGACTACCGAACCTGTTTGAGGGTGGGGGTCTATCCGGCAGGACAGGAAGAGCAATTCTGTATCTCTCCTGTCGCTCTTCCTTCAGTCTCAAGCAGTGCAGTGAGAAGAGATGTCCTCTGCCTGAACTCTGCTTCAGACTCCAATGTGGAGTCCAATCCAGGAAGGGCCAGCATAAAGCAAGACACCACAGCGCCTAACTACACCGGTATCCATGGATGCTCATCAAGGGTGCATTGTATAAGGAGAGATCTAGGATCAGCTCTGCCTGGCATCCTCTGGATACGGGCCTACCCCATCACCACTCTAGTCCCCAAAGACTTAGGCCCTAGGTATAATGCAGGGCCAAAACAGCCCTGGCATCTTTGAGCTCTGTACTGTCCCAATAACAAGCTGCATCCCATGGCCCAAGGCTTCAGTCCTGCCCCATCATCACACTATCCTCCCCCAAGTCCTAGTCATTAGGCTAGCACCTGCTGTGGGTTAGCATCCACAGACAGAGCTCTGCACAGTCTTCCCTCATTCCAGGCTGAAGGAATAGGTAGAGTAGGTAGACTCCAATGCTAGTCTGGCTGCCACAAGTCCATGCTACAAGGACTATGAGCTGTTTTGATTAGGGGTCTTGTTTTGAGCTTTGTTTATTTGGTTGGTTGGTTTTGGTTTTTTGTTGTTGTTGGTGGTGGTGTTTTTTCAGACTAGCACTTGAAACAACAGACCACAAGCAAAACCCTGCAGATTTAGCCTGCAAGTCTGTACCTACAAACCAATCCTACAAAGAATTCTTTAAACTCAGGCTCTAGTGACCCTAAGGATGAGACTTGGTCAATCATACCTAGGATCCAAGTCTATCCCAAAAGACCCTGATACCAGTCTAGCATCCAAAAATTGAGGTTCTATAAGTATTACTATAAATCCAGGTTTTAGACATGCCCCTCTGGACTTAGGAATCAGGTCTAACTCAGTGCCCTAGCAGTGGGAAGACTCCTATGGGCTTTGGTTCCAGGTCTATTCCAAAGTGCAACAAGTCCTTCCCAGCATATGGTAGGCTCCAATGGACCCGTGCATCGGTCCATCCGAACACTTGGTAGTCTCCAATGGACCTAGGCATCAGATCTATCTTAGCACATAAGCCCTTATACACTCAGGAGCAAGACTACCACAACGCTATGTCAGCCCCTGCAGACACAGACTTCTAGCTGTTCTTCATTAAAAAACAAGTTCTGTTTCTGTTAAGACACCAGACATACACACCAGCTCATCTACTGGAAGCAGGCCAGACTATCAGAGGACTGAGGACTCCAATGGCACACAGATTCATGGATCACATCAGCTGTCCTGCCCAGGATCTCCAGATGGGCTGGCTGGTGGTGGGCTTTCCCAGACAGTCTTCACAGACTGGGGTAATTTCCTTCTTCTTCAAGTACACGGACAGTAAGATCATGGCATAAGAATCAAGAACAATTCGTGAAATACTACCCAACCAAAGCAACAAAATAAAGCACCACTGACTATCACAGGGGAAATTAAAGCTGCCTGAGACTCAAACTAGCTGCTTTAAGAAAACTCAAGAAGATTTAAAAATAGAAATAATTTAAAAAGTTAGTACAATAAAAACTCAAAATCGGAAATGTAAGAGTGGATATTGTTTATTTAACCAAACAAATTCTAGAGCTGAAAAAATATAATAAAAAATTTAATGCACAAGAGCAGAAATAATCTAAAGGATCTATGAAACTAATCCACAAGAGGAAAACCATGCGGAGTCCTGATGAAAGCTTGCAAAACTTATGACCTAAAAAAAAAAAAATAACCAGTAGAAAGACAAGCAGCTCATTTAAATAACCAACAGCGGATCGGAGAGACGGCTCGCAGCTGAAAGCACTCGCTGTTTTTCCCAAAGGACCTGAGTTTGGATCCAGCACCCAAGTTCAGTGGCTCACAATCCCCTCTAACTCCAATTTCAGGGGACCTTCTAGCCTCTTCTAGCCTCCAAAAGCTCCCGGAAAATGTGTGCATACACTAACACAAATATACACACATACACATATAAAAAAATTCACATTAAAAGCATATAAATTTAAAATTTTAATATATAAGAGCAAAAATCCTTCCCAAATCTGGGGTAAGACAAAAATCTAGAACCACAAAGGTCAAATATCTCTAACCAGATTCAGTCCAAACAAGGTGACACTAAGCTCTGGCTGGGAAGGGCTTTTCAGTGCTACAGCTCCTTCTGAACCCCATGCTCTGGATGGAATCCCCACACTGAGGAACTAAGCTGGACTTGGATGGAATGGCTTCCTCGAAGCATTCTCACTGTGCTACTGTGCTGGTTAGTTTTAGGCCAGCGTGACACAAGCTACAGTCTTCTGAGAGGAGGGACCTCAACTGAGAAAATGCCTCCATAAAGCAGGGCTGTAGGCAAGCCTATAGGGCATTTTCCTAATTAGCAATTGATGGGGGAAGGCCCAGGCCATTGCAGGTGGTGCTGTCCCTGGGCTGGTGGTCCTGGGTTCCATAAGAAAGCAGGCAGAGCAAGTCATGGGAATAAGCCAGTAAGCAGCTCCCTTCCATGGTCTCTGCATCAGCTCCTGAGCTGCGTGAGTTCCTTCCCTCACTGCTTTTAATGCTGAACTGTTACATACAACTGTGAACAAAATGAGCCCTTTACTCCCCTAAGTTGCTCTGGTTATGGTGCTTCATCACAATAACTAACCTCTAACTAAGTGCCCTGCCTGGTAGGAATGGACATTTGTTTCTCTTGTTTTCCCCAAGAAAACATAATGATTCTATGTAACAAGGCATACATTTGTTGAGGCAGCCAAGTAAAATTTTGCAAACGCAAGTTGTTATTAATTACAATAAACAGCCATTACAAATATAAAATCTTTTATATAAAATTTGTAATCACAAATCTTTATGAAAATGATAAAGACTAAGATCAACAAATGCCACTGGGAAAGTTACCTAAGCACAAAATTAGAAAAGAAAGAAGGTGCTAAGGACCAAATGTGATCAGAGGGCAATGAACAAATGACAGCAGCAAGTTCTGGCCTATCAGTCATCACTGTGAATACAGAGACTAAATCCTTCAGTCAAACACTGATCAGCTCATGAGTAGTCAAGCAACTGAGCGCATGCTGCTTACATTGTTACTGACCTCATCCTTAGGGACATACACAGACTCAGAGTAAAGGGACAGAAAAAGACATTCCATGAAAGTAGACTCCCAAGAGAAAAATGTTCCACAATTTAAAGGAGCAGAGGCTACATAGACGTATACATTTGTTAAACCACCAAATAATCTACTTAAGATTTGCATAAATTGTATATGTTTCCCTTAAAAATGAATATAATCAAATACTGATAACTCTTACTAATATATCATGCTCACATATTTGAAATAAATAAAGATGTTATAGTAAACATGGAATTCACCTCTAGCTGGTCTCTATCCCATCCCTTGATAACTAATTCAGTGGGAGCAGGTTAGGGACCTGGTTAGGGGACCACCAGAGGCAGGTGAGTTCCCCATTAGATAATGTGTACTTCTTCCCTAGTGCAACCCCTAAAAGCTGATGTCTGTCTGGGTCTGCCGACAATTCCTCTACCTCTTCTTCCCCGCTGCCTTTTGCTTTCAGACACTGGCTAGAGCCTAAGTATGCACCCCATACTCTGAAGCCCCTCCCTGCCACACAACCCTGCTACACTGTGGCTTAGCAACAGGTCTGCTTATCTCAAGCAGCATGGCTTTTTCCCCCTTCTCTTCTCCATTTTCCTCCTCTGGCAACTGTTAAATTTGAACTGTTTGCCTGCCCTTGAATTTTTCTTTTAAACTATAATAAATTGTCCATGTGCTTCCATGAGTTCATTCTTAATCTTTTTCCTTTTATTAATGAGATTAAGAACCTCAAAAGGAGGCCCTGATTTCCCAAGTCTCATAAGGTTGCACCACCAGGACTTGTCAAGATGTCTGGTAACACTTGCTTCCTGCCTTTTAATTCTTTAGTCAGCAGAGAAAGTGAACATGTTCCTGTATCCTAGGTGGCATCAGGAACCTGTAACTTATTTTGATGAATTAAAAAATAATTTTAATAAAGCAAATATAGTGAAATATTAACATATTCCAAAGGTGAAGGGATTACTGTACAATTCTTTTAGCCTTTCTTATGCCTGAAAATTCCATAATTACAGCATTAGAAAAAAAGATGAGAATTCAAAAAAAACACAAATATTATATGCATAGTTTTCAACATAATTTTCTTGTTTTATGACTATCATATATAGAATGAGTTAAAGAAACACACATAAAAAAAAAACTAAACAACATACCCGAATTTCTTGGAGGTTGTGAAAATGATTTCCTACTCTGACTGAGATTTTGCTTGGAGTGTAGCTTTCATCAGATTTATAGTCTGCATAAATACACAATGTCTTCACTGTTGTCTTTCTTCTAAAAACAGTAAAATAAAAGAACACGGTTTATCACATCAAAAGGAAACAGTAAAATAAAAGCACGCCCTCTTCTGAGGTTAAATCAACAATCTCCTGTGGTTTCCCTTCAGCTTGCAGGTGGAAACATGTAAAAATGTAAGTACATATATAGTATTTTACATATTCAAACACACCACATCGAGAACATGGTCAAGAACTAATGTATGTAAAGAAGCAGTTATGCCAAAGTAGGTGCTTAGCATGCAAACAAGTATTAATGACGCCCATCCTTTTCATTTAGACATTATAGAAGGAAAGGGTTCAAGCAAGCCTGGATTTCTTTTACTAATTAATTAATTAATTCTTTATACTGATACTTACAAACACTTAGCTAAGTAAAAAAATCAGGCTCAACAAATAAATACTTTAAAAAATAAAAAGCCCAGGTGGTGGTGGCGCACACCTTTAATCCCAGCACTCAGGAAGCAGAGGCAGGTGGATCTCTGTGAGTTCGAGGCCAGCCTGGTCTACAAGAGGACAGGCTCCAATGCCACAGAGAAACCCTGTCTCAAAAAACAAAAAAATAAAATAAAATAAAATAAAAAGCATACCCTGCCACTTAAATGTACAAATTTCTATTCTATTTCAAAATATACATACATACTATTTGGGAAAAAGCAAAAACTACATTATAAAAAATTAACCTCAGGGAATGAAAAAGACTAAGAAATATGAAAAATATTCAATTTCTAAAAACCAAAGAAAGAGATTTAAAAAAGGAGATAATTGTTTACCATATATTGGAAAGTATCAGAATGAATGATATCCAAATTTCCTTACAAAAAGAATATTGAGCCAATAAATAAAATTTGTGGGTCACTAATCCAATTTCTAAGTGAACTAAGAATTCATTGCCTTCCGATTATTATAGATTTGTGTGCTGATAAAGGACAGAAAGCTAAAGGGGGGCCGCTGGTGTGTGGAGTTGGAAGGATGTCTAAGGTGAGGACGGTGTGGTGGTTTGAGTAAAATGGCCGCATAGGCTCATATATTTGAAGGCTTAGTCATCAAGAAGTGGCACTACTTAAGAAGGATTAGTAAGCATGGCCTTGTGGGAGTAGCTGAAGCTTTGCTCGAGGAAGTAAGTCACTGGGGTGGGCTTTTCAGGCCCAATGACTCTCTCTTCCAGTTGCCTGTAAAACCAGATGTGGAAACTCTCAGCTACTTCTCCAGCATCATGTCTGCCTGCAAACCACAATACTTCCCACTATGATGAGAATGAACTAAACCTCTGAAAGTATAAGCAAACCCCAATTAAATGTTTTCTTTTGTAACAGCTATCTTGGTCATGGTGCCTCTTCACAGCAATATAACACTGACTAAGACAGGGGATAACAGATCATATATTACAGGAAAAACGTAGGCAGGACGAATATAAGGGATAGGAAGGTTTAAGTAGGGATGGGGTTTAAGAGGATAGGAGGACTAACCAAAACAAAGAATTATTATAAGGGCCACATGAAAATCTACTATTTTCATAAACTACCTTTAAATATGTAATGAAAAGTGAAGGAGTTGAAAGGGAGATAACCTAAACAGGTTACCAGTGCTCCCAGAGTGGAAAACCACCACCGCAGCTGTTAGCTGGGGAAGTCAACGAGTCCCTGAAAACAATACAAGCTACTGCTATCGTTCTGTGGTCCACCAGAACTAAGCAGGACCTTGCTGTTGAAGGCACAACACGTTTTGGTTGTCAGATATAGAAAAATCAAGCTGGAACTGAGCTGGACGCTTCCTCTCTTTCATAGAGGTAGAAAGTGTGCTGCAGGCTGCTGGGAGAGAAGTCATTAAACCGTTTATTAAATACATTTGACTTACAATGTTTTCGATTTTTAATGAGCCTACTTGAACATAATCTCAACAACAATTGAAAAGCATCTATATTTGAAAATAATCATGCAGATGTATTGCTGCAATAGGGGAAAAGGGCAGATTATAAAACAGTATTACAAAAGAATCATATTTGGGAATGATTGCTTAAATTCATTAATCTATATTTGTGCAAAGAAAAGGGCACAGATAAAACTGCAAATTTTGCAAATTTGTCTATTTTGGATGGGTAAAAACTACTGAAGATCTTAATTTTCTTCGTTACAACTTCTGTATTTTCTGAATAATTTTTCAGGATGAACATACGTCATTTGGTCATCAGGAAGAAAAATGGGTAATTCCTAACACTGATCCTCCAAAAACATTTATAAATCTACTAAAAAGGGCTTTACAAGTTCAGTGTAAAGTAGCACTGCTGGCTAACACTGAGACCCTTGAGCAAAAGTAACCCGTGTCAAAAGTCAGCCTATGAAACAGCGGCATCTGGAGCTCTTCTCTGGGAAACCAAATTCTCATAGCTTAACTATTCATTAGAAAAAAGGGCAAAGATAAAGATTTTTCTTAAGAAAATGCATAAATCCTAGTTACTCTGAAAGTGTTGACAGGAGATATTATGATGTTTCTTAAGAGATCAGAGCTACCAAACTGACATCTTAGCAAGGACAGACACATCAAAGAGAAGCAAAGGCAGAGAAATTTTGAAAGGCTATTTGATATGCCATAAGCAGGAAGTAAAAGTCTCCCTAAGACAGAACGATAAGAAACAACAGAAATTAAAAAGAAAAAAACAAAAGTAGATGTAAAGGATCAAACTTTTTACATAAAAGTATTACTTCTAAGTTATGAACTTCGGGATAACTTCAACACCAAAACCTATATGAAAACCAGAATGATTTTAGAAAGGCAAAGAATGGTAATATTAATGAACATTAAAAACAACAGCAACACATAGCCAGATAACACTATGTGGCTGACCCAGAACTAATGCTTCATTTGTATTCTCTCAATTTACTGCTTCTGATTAAAGAAATAACACTATGTAGATAATTACAATAAAGTAGTCCCGCTTGGCGGAAGGAGTTCCCTCAGCAACACTAGGGTAAATGACCTAAGTAAAAAACGTGCATAAGGCCGGGCAGTGGCGTCACACGCCTTTAATCCCAACACTCTGGAGGCAGAGGCCAGCCTAATTCTACAAAGAAAACCACGCTATCTCTGGAGTAACAGCACACTCAGGAAGATAGAATGCCAGTCCTAGTCCTGGAGAGAGAGGTGGGATGAGCAGACCTTCATTCCACTCACTGTCGCTGCACTGAACACCTGCTGCACCATGTCCAGACGTGCTCTCTTCCTTCCTCCAATCACTTCTAATTTAATTTTAATTAACTGTATGTAGTTTGCTCAATACCCATTGACTGTTATCAGTTTATATTGATGAGCAGATATTTATAGTTACTTACATGTGAGCTAAATCATACTTCTTTTCTTGAAGCTTATTAATGTCCAAAAATGACAGCTACACATATTTTTCTTGGTTTTTCGAGACATGGTTTCCCAGTAGCTTTGGGGCCTGTCCTGGAACTAGCTCTTGTAGACCAGGCTGGCCTCAAACTCACAGAGTTCACCTGCCTCTGCCTTCTGAGTGCTGGGATTAAAGGCGTGTGCACTAGCACCTGGCAAGGACAGGTGTAATTTATGCTAAACAGTTGTACTACATCTGCAGGAGAAACTGCTACTGTGGCTGGAGTTAAAACTACTACTCTACAAGGCACAGCAAAGTCTTTTTTAAACTACTAAATTCTGCCTCATACTGATTCAAAAAGCAGTAATACTACAGAAAAACCATGTTGCTTCTGAAATAACAACACACATGGGAAGATAAAATGTACAGACTACATCACAGGGAAGATGCTGGACACTCAGATCATCACTCTAACTATGGTGCAATGAGTGAACACCTACTGCACACCAAGTACCTTGTTAATCTCCTAGGAAACACTGGTAGAAGGGAAAGAGAAATGCTTCCCTGTTTCTGACTGACATAAATATCATTCCTAACTTCCCTCTTTCCTCCGACCTATTAAAACACTTTCTCCTAAGCAATAGCTTTGGGCAAGAAGCAAGCATTTCCTTTGTTCCTTCAGTCCATACATATAAAACCAAGCATATCTGGTTAGCTACAAACGGATGAGTAAGTCTTTAATTCCAGGGTTCGATGTTACTGAAGGTGTGGTGCAGTTAGTGTGGTAATGAGCTTCTAGCAAGTGATACTTTGTCCTGCACCTGCTGACTCCTAAATAATTTCTCATCTGGTTAAGAATCCAAAACTTGCCATGCAGTTTAATCCCAGCACTCAGGAGGCAGAGGCAGGCAGATCTCTGAGTTTGAAGCCAGCCTGGTTTACAGTAAGGGCTACATAAAGAAACTGTCTTGAAAAACAGAAAAACAAACAAAACAAAACCTAGCAGTATCACCACACTAATGACAAAAGAGCTATGAATGGGGGCAGCAGATGAAATCTGCATGGGACCCATTTGAGCAGGCAAGGAGGAGATACAAGTCCACAAAGACATAGGTAAAGAATAACTGTTGGGAGAGCAATGGCAGGAGAACAGCAAGTCAAATGCTCTTAGTCAATGAGAGCCGGGCATGGTTAAAATTCTCAAAAACCAAAAGAAAAGTTCTCTTCAAATATTCAGATTTATTTGAGACCTTAGAGAGACCAAACCTTGCTAATGTAATTGTAAAATTGTAATGCTAATTTTGCCCAAAAGAAACACCATTGAAGAATGGTTGGGAACTTGTATGGCGAGAACAGGAATGTTAGAGGTATTCTCTTGTTAATGCTAATGTGTGCTCCACCTTTCTGAGTAGCCTCCTATGGTACACTGTATCCAGAAGGATTCTGAAAAAGCCTTAGTGAAGCAGCATAAATGAGAATCCAGGTGCCTTAAGTCAGAGAACAAAGAGGTTAGAGGCTCACAAACAAGTAAAATAACACTCTTTACAGTCTGGGAAGAAACAATCATTTTTATAGAGCTGTTACGTATACTAATATACAATAGAGTATTCCTGCTAAGTGTTGAAATATGAGCGGCGGCGGGGCTGCGTCCCCAACACCCCGGCCAC